GGCTACGACTACAGTAAGTAGGAGAGGGAGGCCCCATCTACTTCCTCCTAGGGGAGGCAGGTCAGATAGTGCAGACGCCGCTGGCAGCAGGGGCTTTGGAGTCAGACAGGCCTGGTTCAGGCACTGGAGCTACCACATGGAGCTCTACTCTAGTTCAGCCTTCTCAGTAAGGTGTGAGAAGCTGGTGTTGCTGTGCAGAGAGGTTACATTGTGAGGATGTGGTAAGCGCCTGGCACCGGGTAAAAAATGTACAGTTAAGTAGTAGCCCAAACATTGTTCTTATTCCTAGGTCAGGGTAGTACAAATTACGGGAAGAGCCAGCGACGCGGTGGCCATCAGAATAACTACAAGCCATACTGAGAGGCGGCAGGAGCGGCCGACTGACGACCGCACACGCTTTGTTTGGACGCGGAGTGAACACAATTATGTACCAAATTTAACTTGGCAAACTTTTATGGCCTGTCCCATGTGCATCTTATTTAAAATTTCCCCCCCGGAAATCACTCTCCTGTTTACTATTCCAGAGCTGTAGTTGTAGGCAGCGTGTGGCGTCTCAGAGGCCAGAGCAGCATGGGGGGGGGGCTGATTTTATTACCAGGTTACCCTGTGGGAGATGGGAGGGTCTGCTTCCTGCTGCCGCTCTGCAGCCTGGACCTGTGGACCCTGGTTGTAAAGAGTAAACTGTATCTTAGGAAACCAGTGTCACCTTTTTCACCTTTTAATTTTATATTATTTGTGTCATACATTTCCAGTAATGGAAGTGTTAATTTTACTGTACTTTTTGGTACCTTTTGGGAATCTAATGTATTGTAAGGTATTTTACACGTGTCCTGATTTTGCCACGACCTGGATATTGAAGCTATCCAAGCTTTTGAAATAAAAATTAAAAAACCCCCACGCCTGGGTGAGTGTGGGATGCTCTCTCTGTGAGACCTTGCCCAGTGTTGGAGGTGCTAGATACTCTGGGACTAGGGTCTCCTGTAGCAGGGGTCCTTCAACTAGCTCTTTTCCCACCTGACTTTTTCAGCTACCATTTTGTTTCCTTAGCCTCTAAATCTAGAGAACATCTTATCATGAATCTCCTGGTGGAGGTGAAGCACAAACATAAGGTCCCACTTACCTGAAGGGTGCTTGGCTGAGTTGGGCTGGATCCTCAGTGTTTTACAACTCCTTACTTTTTCTTCCATGTCTAGAAAAAAAGACCACAGATGACCACAGACCTACCCTACATTATTATTATTCCCCATTCAGTTTCCTAGGATGCTTGTTCAGAGGTTGGGTCCCTACCCAGGCTTGTCCCACCATTTCCCTAACACAGATAGTCCCATGTGTGAGCCCAAAGCAGTTCTGTTTCTAGTTAAGTCCCTAATCATTCACACATAGAACTCTAGAGCTGTACCAGTTTGAAACATCCACTAGGGATTGGGTTTAACTAATTAACACGTAAGTGACAGGGATAGAGGTTCCTTGCTGATTGTTTTTATATGCTTTTATATAACCACCACTTTGGTGTATAGTTGTTGGTAGTTTCTTTAAATAGAGGGAGACCTTGGGCTTTTGATTGACCTTGAGTGATTAGAGGTTATGGGGAGAATTTCATTGCAGTCAGCCATTTCATTTTAGTCACTCAGCAGTTGGGTGCCCCCCCCCCCCTTTTTTTTTGGAAGATGAAATTCTAGTCAATAAAGGTGTATGCACCACTGGCCTGGCCTGACTTATGGACTTTTAAGGCAGTCCAGGATTATCTTGAATGTGATCTTTCCCCATTCCACCTACCAAATGCTGTTATCACAGGTGGTTACCACCATGTTCATCCCACTGGTTCAAAGACTATTATGTCTAGCCCTACGTTCCACATTGTTGCCTGTCAGTACATGTAGGTAATGGCTACAAAAAGCCATGCTTTTGCTCCTGACAAGACACTTGGTGTATCTTGTTACAGCTCCTTGGTATGTGCTGAGAGGCTCTAGCTACTGGTCTTACATTTGTGGTGTTGAGGATCAAACAAAACTCCCAGGGGCCTGAGACATGCTAGATGGGTTCTGTCAAGCTCACCAGTTAGAATGTCATCTAACTTTGCCACTACATGCTGTGCGTTGTCCAGGCTAAAGCACAGTGGAGGCTTGAACTTGAGGACATTCCTCCCAGGGCCATCAGTGCTCAGTAAAATGTAGTTCTCCTTCAGCCTGTAAGAAAAAGACACCTGTCTTATAACCTTCAACAGGCAGGCACCCACCATACCTTAAATCTGACCAATTAATTGGTCTCCACCCAAGGTACAGTGTCCATTGTGCCAAGCCTGCCACTCAAGTTGTCCCAGGCTGGCTCAAGAGAACCTCTGCTTCCTGAGTGCTGGGATTAGGGTGTGCACTATCTGTCCTTGAACTCACCTGTGGACCAGGCTTTAAAGGCTCTGATTACAATAATCCAGCTATCACATCACCATGCCCACCCAGCTCATTGTCTCTACTTAATCCACATGCTGTGATATAAAATGGTTAACATTCTTTCTGATTCCCCAGTCTGTCCCAGAAAGAAAAAGTTGAATCAGACCCAGGGCAAAATCCAGCCCTGCTTAGGATGACTGCAGTTACGAACACTAGCCTGGGCCCTGGCTTTTATACCTTACAATCTCTGATCCCCACTGGAGTGAATACTCTGGCTGAGACCAGTTTCTATTGAGTAGGTAAATTTAATACATTTTTTGTTTTGTTTTTCAAGACAGGGTTTCTTTAACTTTGGAGCCTATCCGAGCACTCACTCTGTAGACCATGTTGGCCTTGAACTCACAGAGATCGCCTGCCTCTGCTGGGATTAAAGGCGTGCACCACCAACGCTCCCGGCAAATTTAATACATTTTACAATGTGAATAAAGGCACATTCAAAACCCAGGGATTTTCAAGGTTGGCGTAGATCTGATAGATGTAGGATGTCCCAGGTTGGCTCCTACAGGCTTTCAGCCAAGGATTCGGATCCAGAAAGCTGGAGGCTCATTGCTCTAGGCTACACAGGGACCCTAGTGCTTTCAATTTGGACAAGGCAATTTATTTCAGGAAAAAAAATACCTGGAGACCAAGTATTCTGCTTCTTCAGTTGCTGGCGTCCTCAAGGTCTCATCTTTGATCAGATCCACACCAATGAAGAGCCCAGTGCCCCTGAAGGAGTTGACATCTTTATAGCTATGGTCTTTGCCTCACTCTGACCTGGCCTGAGCCACTCCCTTCACCCTGGAGAAAGGCTCAGAATCTTTGGAATCCCAGGTCCTTCTAGAGAGTGGATGTAGACATTTTAATCCCAAGGTAGGAAGATAGAACAATGCTGAACCCTTAGCAAGTATTTGGTTATGTGTTCCTGTTGGGCCCAGAACCTTACCTGACATCTCCAATGATAGGATGCTTGGCTTTCTGCTGGCTGAGGTGCTCCATTAGGAAATTGCCCACATTAGTGGCATGAGCCTGGAGTTGTTCTGTTTCCAAGACATCCAGTACTGCCAGCCCCACAGCACAGGACACTGGGTTGCCACCAAACTGAACCAGGGGACAGCAATGTCAGATGCTCTGCCAAATGGACCATGATCCCATGGAATTGCCACAAAAGGACAATTGGGAAGGCTATAGGCCCAAAGTCTTCACAATTGGAGCTGTCCTTTTCATAAACTGGTCTCCTGGGGGGTCTTCAGCCCAGGCCATGTATAAGGAAAACAAGAGACTTAGAACTGGTCCAGACCCTCTCCTGACCTGTGGGCACCAGGCAGGCACATGGTACACAAAGACACGGGTAAGATACCCACACAAATCTTTTGAAAAGCCAAAAGAGCACAAAAGATGAGGATTGGCTCAGGAGTTTCTGCCTAAACTGGGCAATGGTGGCACACACCTTTAATCCCAGCACTAGGGAGGCAGGTCTACAAAGTTCCAGGGCAGCCAAGGTCACACAGAGAAACCCTGTCTTGAAAGAGTTCCTGGCAAATAGGAAGCCTTGTGTCTAGAACTGCAAAAACTCATCAGAGATGGTGGCTTATGTCTAATCTCAGCATTTGGGAGTTTGAGGAAGGAGAGTCAGGTCCTCTACATACAGGGTTAAAAGCCAGCTTGAGTTCAATAAGATCGTTTCTCCACTATATATATTATGGGGCGGGGGAATGAATACTAGGTTAGACCATTTGCTACTGTACACATGAGGGCATAAATTAATCCCCAGCATTGGTGTAAAAGGCTGGGCAGAACTGTAGGAATCTCATCCTAGCAGTGGAGGTGGGTGGGGGTGGAGGCAGGTGTTGACAGAACCAAACATTGAGCTTTCATATTCAATGAGACTTGCCTATGGTAGTCAGGGAAAAAGCAGTATAAGACTATCAGCACCACCCTCTTTTGACCTTCACACACCACATACTATACAAGATGGCTTGTAAGGTAAAGTGCCTGCTGGGATTGTCTGATGACCCAGAACCTGTGAGAGGGGAAGGACCAACTCCATAACAGTTCTCTGACTTGTATGTGTGCTATGGAACACATGCAGTCCCCCCCTCCCCCCAGTATATGCAAAGTAACAAACTACAAAACTCATACCACCTGTACACTGAGGTGGGATTGTTTCAGCCCAGGTGTTTGGAGATAGCTTTAGCAACAGTGATAATCCCCTCCAGTGCCAAAATCAAACCAGACCCTCGGGCTGGAGAGATGGCTCAGAGGTTAAGAGCACCGACTGCTCTTCCAGAGGTCCTGAGTTCAATTCCCAGTAACCACATGGTGGCTCACAACCATCCGTTATGAGATCTGGTGCCCTCTTCTGGTGTGCAGATATACGTGGAAGCAGAATGTTGTATACATTAAAAAAAAAAAAAGAGGGTGAGGGGGGGGAGAAGGGATTGACATGTGAAACAAGCTTGTCCCTAATTTGAATAAAACAAACAAACAAAACAGACCCTCAAACCGGTGGAAACAAGCCAACATACAAAAAGAAAAAATGACTTAGAAGATAGGCACAAAAATATTTGAAAAAGCTGCAACATTCTGATAGCTTAGAATGGACTATTTGTCTCAAATTTTATGCTGAAATCTTAACTCCCATTATGATGGTATTAAGAAGTGTAGGACCTGGCTGGGTGGTAGTGTCTCACATCTTTTTTTTTTCTTTTTGGATTTTTCCAGACAGAGTTTCTGTGTAACAGCTCTGGCTGTCCTAGAACTTACTCTGTAGACCAGTCTGGCCTCTGCCTCCCTGAGTGCTGGAATTAAACGCGTGTACCACTACTGTCCAGCGATAGCATACATCTTTTAATGTCAGCAACACTCAAGAGGCAAAAACAGGTGGAGCTCCTGAGTTTGAGGCCAGCCAGGGCTGTAATGTCAGACCCTGTTTCAGAAAGTTTGTGTGCTGGTGCATGTCCATATGGGTACAGAGGTCAGATGTCAACCATAACCTTGGATGTGGTAGACGGTCTTAGGAGACATCCATCTAGTTTTTTGAGACACTCTCACTAGGACCTGGAACAGACCAATAAGACTATTGCTGGCTGTCTCACAAACCCAGGATTCCATTCTCTGCCTCCTAGCTTTGAGATTACAGGCCTGTGCCACTAAGCTTGGCTTTTTAAATGGATTTTGGGATTGGATGTGGTCCTTGGGTTTGCAGGGCAAACTACACTATGGACTGAACTATCTTGTCAGTCCTTTGTTTAAATTGTGTTGGAGGAAAATAAGATACAACCTAAGGGATATAGCCTAGTGACAGTATTTGGGCTCCAGCACTGCCCTGATCTATAAAGATGTCTTTTTTTTTGTGGGGCTGGCTGGGATCAAACCAAGGGCATTGTGCCTGCTAAACATGTGCTCTACCACTGAGCTACATTTCCAGCCCACAGACATCACTGTAGACATAAAATAAGCATTCCTGTACACTGGACAACATGCTTAATGCTCTATATGTATTCAAAGGTGCAAGCAACAGCTACCAAAAAAAAAAATAGACAAATTGGATCATCTAAAATGTATTTTTTACTTTATCATTTGAGGTAGGGCTTCACTGTGTAACCCTAGCTGACCTATAACTCACTATTATGTAGACCAGGCTGGCCTTGAATTCAGCAGTTTGTTTGCCTCTGCCTCCTGAGTGCTGGAATTAAAGGTGTGCATCACCATACCTGGTTTTCATATAAAATTGTAAAAATTTTTGGGCCAGTGAGATGGCCAGGGAGCTCAGTAGGTAAGAGCCAGATGTACAAGTCTGATGATGAGAGCTTGGTCTCTGGAGTCCAGGTACCAAGGAGCATGGCGGTACGTGCTTTTAATCCCAGAATTTGGGATGCAGATGCAGGAGGATCTCAATAAGTTTGAATCTAGCTGGTCTACATGTGAGTTCTAGCTCAGCCAGGGCTACACAGTGAGATCCGTCTCAAAACCGAAATAGAGGTGATTGGTAATTTATGTTTTTGTGGCTTCTCATAAATAACATGAAGGAAGTGAAGACTGCTGCCAGCTGGATGTACATATTCACAGTATACACTATTGGCAGGACACTAATCTCAATCTAGATATATGTACTTACATGGACATCTTTCACACAAAGACAGACAGACAAATGCATATATACACATTTCCACAAGCACTAGCAACTAAAGAATGAAAAAAGAAACAAACTAGCATTTCACAGAAGAGCAACACATTGGACAGTAAACAGGAAGCGGCTCAGCAGGTAAGGACCTTATCTATAAGCCTGAAGCCCAGAGTTCGATCCCTGGGACCCACATTGGTGGAAGGAGACAACTGATTCCTGCAAGGTGTCCTCTTTCATGTGCACACAACAGGGTACAGAAAATCTATTAAAACTCTAAAAAGCATAGAGGTGCTTCACAAAATATGAATTTGGGGAACAGCATATCAAAACCACATGGATCACTATTTTATATTTCCCTTGACTGGCAATTTTTTTTTTTTTTTTTTTTTTTTTTTTTTTAAGGGAGGGTTTTTTTTTGCTGTGAAACAGTCTGGCTGTCCTGGAACTCTTTTTGTAGATCAGGCTGGTCTTGAACTCAGATCTGCTTGCCTCTTGAGTGAGGGGATTAAAGGCGTGCACCACCACTGACTGCTGACTGGTATATTTGTAAGTGTTAAGAAATGAAGCATGGAAAGTCATTCGATTCTTGTTCATCTGCATTGTGATGTCCGGGTCTTACTGGTGCATGGTTCCTAGTCACCAGTGGTGTCATATTGGATTTTCTCTTGTTGGATGTGCTTTTACCTTGTCCTCTTCTCATGCTTTCTTCTGGTGAACAATACTAGTGAGCTATTTTGACCTGTGAACTACTTTGGAAAACATCATTATCTTTTAAAATTGAGTGTCGACACACCCTCTGGCCCAGAAATTCCATGACTAGGTTAACTTATTATTATTATTATTATTATTATTATTATTATTATTATTATTTTGGTCCTCTTCTTGTGGATGAAGGTGTCACTCTTTCCTGGGTGTCGGTAATGTTCAGGCGTTCAGGGTCCAGTGTGGCTGGCAGTTGGAGGCAGAATTTTCACCAGGCCTCAGTATGTCAGATCCACTGCCGAACTCCATCCAGCACACAGGTCACTTGCATTAGGTGACTCTGAGCAGTGACAATGATCAGCTCCTGGCCTATGTGGACCGGCTGATGGAGGCCAGGATTCCTCTGGGTGTTTGGTGTTCAGAACCCGCTGCAGCCAAACTGGTCCGGCACGCAGGTCACTTGTGTCAGGTAACTCTTTCATTTGTTTTTCTTGAAGAGCATCTGGGTTTAATTCTCAGGACCCACCTGGTGATCCACAGCTATATTAGATTTCTATCCCTGGGGATACAGTACCCTCTTCTACCCTCTGAACGCACCTGTTGTACACACAGTGTTCTTACAAACATGCAGGGAAAATAGTCATAAATATGAAATTAATTTTAAGTGATTCATATTGTGAACACAGATACATTTCTCTACTCACATGTATGGCCTTTAATATACAAGGGCTATCCGGCTATCCTTGGTGTAAGCAGAGGTTTTATTGTAATTATATATGTTGATTCTCCATTATATGAATTTCTATACAAATCTATTTGCAAATAATTTGTTTTATCTCTTTCATTGCTTATTTGTACATTGTGCTATTGCTTATATATCAGTGGTTGTAGCATTCATTTTCGTTTCTCTTTTTGTAATCTGAGGTAAAAAAAATGCTCAACTTTTTTAAATTGGGTATTATATTTGCCTGAACTTTGAAGATACCCGATGGCTCTAAAATAGTTTTGTCACTATGCTTTACCTCCTTAGAGATTTTCCACCATTACCTATTGACTCCCATTCAAATGAATTTTAAGACAGTATAGATATAATTATGCAATTCATCTTAATCTTCAGTAGGATGAAGTATATAGGTAAAATTTATATTGTTAAAATGGCCTTTGTTGGCTGGGCATTGGTGGTGCACACCTTTAATGCAAGCGCTCAGGAGGCAGAGGCAGGTGGGTCGCTTTGAGTTTGATTCCAGCTTGGTCTACAGCACAAGTTCCAGGACAACGTCCAAAGCAATACAGAAAAACCATGGCTCAAAAAAAAAAAAAGAAAAAAAAGAAAATGGGCTTTGTCTTGTCATTCTACTAGGCCATGAAACATCACACAGAAACAAGGTGGTAAATGTGGAATATCAGAAAGGGAACAAGAGAAGCAGGAACTTGAGAAAGAGATATTAAAAGGTAGTTATTTCTCCTTTCCTCAATATCCCTGTCTCACTTACAGATAAGTCAAACAACTTTGATAGATAAGACCTTGTAACCACACATCTTTAATCCAAAGCACTGAACCGTTCCACCACATGGCACTATTGCCAAGCCACCCGAGTTCTTCCCGCTGCCACAGTAAGGTCCCAAGTAACATACAGAGACTTATATTAGGTACAAATTCTGCTTGGCCAATTGACAAGGATTCCTCATCTGCTAGCTCAGTCTTAATTATCAACCATAATCATAAGATTTATCTTATGGAGTATGCCAGCAGCAAGCCCCCTGTCTTCTGATTTCACATGGCAGCTCCAGAGAAGAAAGCAGGAGGAAGAGGAAGAACAAGAGAAAGGAGTGACTTCCTTCTTGTCCTTGCCTATATATGGGTCTGCATGGTATGTCACTTCCTGCCTGTATACATGACTTCCTTTTACTACATTTCCCAGAATCCTCCTTGGCTCATTTTCCCGCCTAATTTGCTGCATCATTGGCTAAGCAGTGCTTTACTCAACAATTTGAACTCACAGAGATCGCCTGCCTCTGCTCCCGAGTGCTGGGATTAAAGGCGTGTGCCACCAACGCCCAGCTTCTGGGTTAATTTATAAATAACTGATCTTTCTGCACAAGAAGAACAGACACAAGGAACAGCCTCAGAGCATCAGCAGGTATGGATGTTGTAAAGCAGGGAAAACAAGTGAGTGGCAATATAGATGGTTCTTGGTAATAAAATGTCAGGTGAATGTCAGGTGAAAAACACAAATCCCTAGAGTTAGTTTGCATTATGAGTAACGAGAACAAAAACATGTGTTCAGAATCACTAGTGACATGACAAACACTTGGATAGATAGATGCAAGCTGGAGTCAGATCCTCTTTTTTCTTAAAGATTTGTTTATTAGATATACAGTGTTCTGCGTTCATGCCAGACTAGGGCACCAGATCTCATTAGAGATGGTTATGAGCCACCATGTGGTTTGCTGGGAATTGAATTCAGGACTTCTGGAAGAGCCATCTCTACAGTCCAGGATCCTCATTTTTTATCTGAGGTGACAGCTTTTCATGGGTTTGTGTAAGTAACCAAATAGAGCTGGTGAGATAGCTCAGTGGTTTAAGGTATCTGTTGTCAAACCCAGAACTCATGATGGAAGGAGCCATTGACTCCTGAAAGTTGTCTTCTGACCTCCACACCAGTGGCTGCATTTGCACCCGTACACAAATGAATAGATAAATGTAAAAGCCTTAGCAAAAGTAGCCAAGTAATCAGCTAATTAGAAGAGGGTTATACAGAGACAAAAAGGGCTGAATTTAGCTTAGGCACTTATGTCAGAGTGAGGTCCCATTGGTCATTTGCCTTTCAGGTAACAACCTTCCCTCCCAGCTGGCTAACCGCTGCTCACCTACAGACTTTGCTCTTAATGTCTCTGTCTCCATTAACTTGTCCCTCAGCCCTGTGTTTACTTGCCTGGGATGTCCCTTGTATTCTCATAGTGGACCATCATATACTTTGTCCACTAAGCTAGGCTCTCCAGTGTCCCAGTTGAGTCTAGGAGTGTTTCTTGCCCTGACATCAAGCCCACCCAGGGTAGAGGCTGTTTGTTATTTGGGCAGAGTAAAGTCTTCTGAAAGTACCAGAGCAGATGTCACTCCCCTCCTCAGACTGACCCTCATTGCCTCTCTGACATCTTGCCAAGTGCTGACTTCCTTCAAAATTTAAATGGCAGGCCAGGTCATGGTGGTACATGTCTTTAGTCTCAGCACTTGAGAGGCAAAGGCAGCTACACAGAGAAACCCTGTCTCGAAAAGCCAAAACAAAACAAAATTCAAATGGCTTTTTGTGGAAATCACAGTAAGTACCCAAAATGATTCCTGCTCCTGGCCAGATTCAGTCTCCTGACTACCTTTTTCTCTGTGCTGGTGTCCAGAGATTTTTCCCAAAGGGCAGTTAGACCTTATGTTTCTATGAAGGAAACCCTTCCTTGGGCGTCAGGTGTAGCTCAGTGCAAAGTGTTTGCATAGCACTAATAGGCCTGGGTTTGATCACCAGCACTTTGAAACAAAAAGACAAAAAGCCAAGCAGCACATCCCTTGAATAGTTTTGCTGTATTCAGGATCATGGACTCTGTTTCTGTGATAAGAGAAGGCACTGGCTGAGGACCTGCTCCTGCCCCCACCCTGTACCTGCAGCCTCAGAGTCACCCATGTTGGGTTTATGTAAGCTTCCGTTAGGGAAAAACCTTGGCCTGTGCTCCAAGGACAGGGAACCATTCTTCCTCCATGACATGCTGTGGACTTCCTGTCTCCCAAGCTGACCAAAACACCCACTCCTCTCACTCAGGTTCTTCAGTTTTCTAACTCCAGCATCTGCCACAGGTAGGCAGCTTCTGCCGGAAGGGAAGGGGTTCTTGCATTCTGTGTGTTTTATACAACCTTATCTGTGACAGCATTTGGGTAAATACTAGTTTTGAAAGATGTTTTACAGTATTTAAAAAAAAAAATCTGACCTGGGCCAGGTGAGGCAGCGCACACCTTTGATTCAGCACTTGAGAGGCAAAGGCAGGTGGATCTCTGAGTTTGAGGCTAGTTAGGACTACCCAGTGAGTCTCAATGTCTGTCTCTATCTCTGTCTGTCTTGTCTGTCTGTCTGTCTCTCTCTCTCTCACACACACACACACACAAAACAAAAACAAAAACCCAAAAACACAAACAAACTTGACATGTAGCTTCCTGGAGGATGGCATTTTAGAAATCTGTGCTGGGCACAGTGAAAGCCCTGAAGCCTTCACAGACTAAGGACATGGGGATTGAGTGGCAACTAATAGAGCCCCTGTCCTGCAGTTTACTCACCGTGTTGAAGTATTCTACACCAGTGGCTTCAAATGCTCTTGACACAGCTTGGGTAGTGGCCACGCAGGCAACAGGATGGCCATTGCCAATGGACTTTTCCATGGTGACAATGTCGGGGACAAAGCTTTCCCCTTCCAGCTGGAAGGCCCAAAAGTGCTTGCCTACCCGGCCAAAGCCAACCTGGATCTCATCTGCAACAAAGAGTCCTCCAGCCCTGCGAATATGCCTGTGGAGGATAGACAGGAGACAGGGCTGTGGTGAGAGAGAGCAGGAGTTGAGAAGTTCTGGGGTGGGGTGCTGTGTCTTCACTTTGGGCAAATGGCTGGCCTTCTCTGGGCCATTATTTCTTTGAGAGTTTTGTTTCAGATCCTTCAGGCAGGCAGGCTAGGCTGTAGGGATTTGGAATAGACATCAAGAAACCCAGTTAAAAAATTAAAAGCCTGCTCGCCCTTGGGTAGAGCCTGCCTGCCCTTTTACTCACTCTGCCACCTGGGAGAAGTAGCCAGCAGGGGGAATGATCTGCCCAGCCACACTGGGTAGAGACTCAGCAAAGAAGGCTGCAATCTGTGGATGAGACAGAGTTCAGTGTGCCTTGCTAATAATATTGGCAATGATCCTCCCTTTGGGTGCTGTGTCACATCTGAAGGTGTGAGTCATGCCCTTGGTGCCTCCATCCTTGTACTTGGGCTTGCTCCAGTCAACTAAATTCACTTACACATCCACCCTATAAACCTTTCCTACCCAGTCCCTATGTGGTGACCAACAACAGTCTCACCTCACTTGGAGGTATGGCTTCATCCTTACCTACACCCTCCTGTAATGTGTGTTGCTGACACCCATTGTCTCATGGCTGTCACATCTGAGTCCACTTCTTGTCTCTGGCTACTGCAGATGCTGTCTTATGGGATATTTCTTCCTGTCTCTCATACTGCCCTCGGGAAGATGCTTCAACCCAGACACTGAGGTCATCTATATCCTGCTTAAAACTCTTTGCCTAAGCATGTTTTCCATACTGTGTTCGTTC